GTGGACTGTGTGCTCGTTTGTCACCTATAAAAATATTTTTTGTCCTAGGGTTAATGATCGTTAAGGTTTCATTTGCTTGTCACAATAGTTCTACTAATACGCCCACAGTTAAAATTGACGATTTGATTGACAACACAATGCAAAAGGTGTATCTCTTTAAAACATAAATCACACTGGTGCAATCTCTCTTCCAAAGTAACAAGTTAAAACATAATGCGATGTCAATGTCCTGCAATCCTTTTAAAAAGTCATTACAATTACTATTTTTTATAACAAGGGATTATAATGTAACTTAAGATAGTCGATGCCGTCTTATGTTGGCTCGGTAGAACTCTAGTGAAACATTTAGCTGCAGCACTGCGGGCCACTAGAGCAAATTCCGCACGGGGCAAATGGTCTGAATGTTTGTCTGTCTAATGTAATTGTGTAAGTAACGACTCTATGATTTGTTTTAAATACAGGATAATTTCGCGGGTAATATTATTTAAAGAAGCGATGTTAATATATTATAAAATTTTTGTGATGTATTAGTATTAAATTAATGTAAATATCTAACACAATAATTATAAAATATCTGAAAAACTACTATTAGATAGAGAAAAATAATATTCCTGGATTGATCAAATATTACACTAAATATTCACATCCTATTTCGTATTTCTACTATTTTGGTGCTTGTGAGGTAGTCACTTTATCAAGGATAATACAATAAATAACTTAATGCTTTGAATAGTACCTAAATTAACTAACAAGAAAATTACTTTATATTATTAGAAAGGACATTTAACATGCTAAATGTCCTTTCTAATAATATAAAGTAAAAATATAAATAAAATTCGTAAAATATTATCGATGAAATTTTCTGTGGTATCTGGTTTCAAAGTTTTTGTTGCCTTATTAAAGTACTGGTTATCTCTTACCGTTTCTGTTTGTTTTTGTATAATTTCGTTTTTTTTATTTTTTTCACCTAACACAAAAACTTAAATTGTAGGTTTAGGCTTGCAAACGAAACTGTTATAAAGTTCATTCACTCGAATGGATAAAATTAATTTTCCGCAAGCTTACTATTATTAATAAAATAACGAAACTACTAGCTATCTTCGCAGGATAAAACAAAAGCTTGATAATTTGATTATATATGTATATTCTCTTGTCGTGTGATGTGCTACTATGAATGTTAAATTTGTTGTACCGATTAATCTAAAAATGAATACATAGTAAGAGCTGTTGAATGATTGAAAGCGTTATTCTTATTGAAAATTGTCTTAAAATTGAAATAAATTTAATTCTGTGGTAAAAAGATTTCTTTAATTACGTAGCGATAAGTCAGAAGAACCACTGTCTCCTTTTCTGTGATCTCTTAATGGCACGTTTAACCTAGTCTTATAGTTATATTCTCTAGAGGGCAGACTCGACTATTTTTCCATTATGTAAAGCACACAATACTCTCTAACGATTACGGTCACTATGTCTGCTGACATGTTTCTCGGCGCGACGAACCCGGTTCTTTATCCTTTTGTTTCATTATTCCATTGACAATCAGTGCTTTTTAAGCAAATGCTCGTGCGTCTGGCTTATTGTTAAACAAAAAGTGTAGTCTAGATTTACACAATTTTATGTTGCTTCTTATACTTTTTGAGACGTATTTAATTTGGAGAAACTTTGGAAATTTTAGCGATTCTGAGTACAGTGTCAATAAAGCTACTGTGATGGAGTAAGTTCCAAAAATTGTGCACGCCATTTGCGTTATAATGATCTACAACTTTAATACCTACTCTGAAAACATACAAAGGACGTTCAACTTTATTTTTTAAACTATAAAGTAGGATTGGGTATTGTTTAGCCTAATATTCTTCTTTTTGTAATGATTTTGCAAGCGATGCTGTTTTTTTTTTATATAGGATTTTACAAGCGATAACATGTTTTTATATAGGAATTTACAACATTTTAATTTAACAAATTAGGAGAATATTCAATATATCTGAATGATAACATGAAATTAATTATTTAATTCATTACTGGTTATTTAAACTACTTATTTACTTAATGCTCATGAGTGTAACTCGTAACAGTGTCGACGAGTTTGGGCTACACGGAATTTCATGTAAGAAAAGTGCTGGTAGGTTTACACGGCATGGTTCTTTTAACGATGTCATCCGAAGAGCTCTTGTCTCTATAAATGTTCTCACCGTTTTAGAGCCACGTGGAATATATGGAGATGATGGCAGGAGATCCGACGGTATGATATTGGTCCCTTGGGAGAGAGGTAAAGCCCTAGTGTGGGATGCTACTTGCGTAGACACTTTGGTGGGCTCTCATCTCAAGGGTACCTCGTTTAGAGCAGGGGCAACATCGGAGGCAGCTGAACTTAGTGGTGCAAATATGAGCCTCTGAGAGATGACTACATATTTATGCCATTTGCTGCAGAGACTACATACGGACTATATATATAGGTCCGTGGGGTCCACGTGCGGTGAATTTACTAAAGGAACTATATCCGCGACTGATCGTCGCTGCCGGTGATAAGAGGGCTGGTTCTTTACTAGTTGAAAAGCTAAGTTTAGACATTCAGCGAGGAAATGCAGCCAACGTTCTTGGCATAGATACCACGGGGAGTAGGAATGTATGACAATTTAAGTTGTTTTAGTTTTTTTTTTAAATTATAATTTTTAATATTGTACATTTTATTAAATTGTGTAGTTTCATATCGTCTTCTTAGTATATATTATTAATCCAAATTAAAATACTAAGCAAAAAAACGTTTTTTTTTTATATGTAGTGATGACGTTTGAAACAAAAAGGGCTTTCGTTTTAAGTGATTTCCTCGATTAAAAACATAGATAAACCCTATTGGTTTTTTATTGTATTATTTAATTACTTTGCCTAGTAAGAATTGTCAATCGATATGTATTTTAAAGATATCGATTTTGTTATCAATATAATGGGATTCAAATAGGCTTTGTAGAGTGTCGATTTTGTCAAGGAAATCCAGTAAGACAATATTAATAAAAACGATATCATCATTATGTAAAACTGGGCTTGGTTGCAACTGTGTGTTTTAAAACGTTTGAAATTAATTTTACGTATGCTTGTGTGGCGTAGAAATATTCTAAAGAGTATCTTCCGTGTATCGATGTTTTGGATTTTGCAAGAACAAATTAATAATTTATAAGGGTTCACTTAGTGTTAATGTTGCCTTGTTTTATTTTACTGAATCGAAATATCTCTTTCAAATATGCATTTGAGCCTTGTTATAAAAATAAACTTAAGATTAGTGTAAACTTAGGTTAAGTATATAAACAGGCTTTAACTAAGGTGTAACTTTGTTCGTAGGCTAGTGTTAGATATTATGTTCATTTGCAATAAACTTTTCTACCTTTCGCCGAATAATTTATATATTAAATAGATGTTGGCAGTTGGCAGGTCAAGGGTCACTTCCGTCGCACCTCAACCTACTAGCAACCGATATAGTCTTACCCCTGCTCAAATTCAATATCTCTAAGTTTAACCAAATTGTGTATTGTTTAAGTTAAGTAAATACAATTAACAATTCAAATTATGTGTCTTCTTTGTATTTCAGTTTATTTTATTATTTTTTCAGCTTAGTCGGCTTAGCATGAAATAAACTTTACGTCTTTCTTTCTTACATTGTCATTGAAGTTACTTAAGTATACTAAATTTCAACTCTATAGAATTTGAACAGGTGTTTCAAAAAATGTTTACAAATAAAAGCTTGTAAAAGGATAATATTAGCCTGCGCTCAAAACTAAACCCGAGCCAATTTATTTTAGGTTTATTATTTACACAAACACAAGCTGTTACATATATACATAATCTAGTCAGTATAGAATAGAATAAGAATTTAACGAAAATCTTTTCATCTAACCACGTCGCTGCACAGTTATGTTATTTAAATGTTTTATTTAAAATTAAACTTTTAATTATGCATCGAATATATAGGAAAAGTTTTTATAGTATAAGGTTAGAACGAACAGAAAGTCCACCTGATGGTTAGTGGATGCTGTGACCCATGATATCTGCATCTATCCACGATTAAGAATCCAATTGCAGTTTCGTTGTCACCCGTGAGGAATAAGATGCCTCGTTACCACTAAAAAGGGCTTCCAGTGTCCTACACCGTACGAAACATAGCAGCATTAAGCTGTTACTTGACACTGGTATTCTGTGAGAGCATGGTCCTTCCCCGGTCGAGCCAACCCATTCGTGCTACATTCATAAAATTACTGCAGTATGGCTCTACCACATGTAAAAGCATTTTAATTTTATAAACAAAATCAACACGTTTTACGTGTACACATTTTGAATTTCTATGAAGTTAGCATGCTAAAAATTTTAGTTTATATGACCTTGATTATTTTTGTGGCGTATTTTAATAAAATAAATATAAATATATTGTTACATTGGAATTCCTATAGTGAGATAAGTATTTTTTCATGATTCGTTTAACTATACTTTATAACACTATAATATTACAGAATTAAATATATAAATTACAAACTTACGTATGGATCTGTCTTTTTTCGAGCGATGACTAACTTATACATTTATAAGATACCAATCCCAAGAAAAGGTCAAGGTTGTGTTTAAAAAAACTCATTTCTTGTTTGATCTGCCCCATAAAAATCAGCATTTTTGTTTTAATAAATGAGAATCTCGCTGAGTTATTTTAACAGTATTTTTGTATTTTGGTACAATTTAATAGTTAAATAAAAGAAATAATTATATTTTAAAATAATTTTAACATGCCTCTAGTATTACTTAATAGTTGCTTTTTTCAATAAACATACAGTAGGCTTAATTACGGTTTATAAATATATGTATAACTTATTTTATTGTAATATTTATTAAAAAAGAGAAAATATTAAATAATAATTAAGTTTGAATAAATTAATTTAGTTGTTTTGAAATTAACTATTATTTATATCTTTTTAATAAAAATGTGTAAAAATGAATATAATATAAGGATAAAACTAACATACCAGTGCACAAAATAATATCCCTCGCCGCATGGCGCAGGAGTTGGCCCATAAGGCCCTGTGTTCAGCCCTAGGTTCGATCTGCTATGTCAATATACAACACAAGATAAAGCCTCTATACAGTGCCGGCTAAGCTCGTTTTGTGCTAAATTTCGCTAACATGTTCCGCTCGCCAGCGATGGGCTTTTAATACTAAAATGTGCAAACTCAAAGATGCGCCTCTTATACGACTTCTTACGTTAACTCGGATACCGCAACGTATTTGGCATATAGGTGTAACCTGTTAATGTGTGGGTTGTATTTTGGCGACGATGCCTTTCTTTGTATGTGTGCGATGGTGGCAGGTTGTAATAACGCTCCTTGTTATGTGTGTCTTCCTACTTTATTTTAAAGTATCCTTTTACCGTAATTTTAACTGTTCACATAAATCCAACATTCCGATAAAAAGATATTTGCATTAATAAAAATCCTGGTTTCTAGTAAGCAGTTATTGAATTAATTTACTAATTTATAGTTATGCTTTTTTATCTAAATTTTCTAATAAATAAAAAAATAATGTTTTTTTCGTATTTTATGCGCTGCAATACCGTTAATCAGATTGGTAAAACTTTGTCAACTTATTAAAAAATATAACTATTCTAAATTTAAAACAATATTTTCACATTTATTTCTTCTGCGGCTGCAACGTGCCGGGTACCAGCTAGTTATCAATAAAAACAAGATAATGCAGAATATATTAATTTTCGCGTTATTTCATAATAATGTTAATTGGAAGTAATTGGAAGTAAAGACTAGAAATGAGTTGGGAGGGTGACTCGAACTTTAGGCATAGTTAGTTTGAATAGCCTATCATGTAGATGATGTCATGGGATGTCATGGTTGAATAGGGGCAAAAAGTTCTCATTACACTCCTAGGGGTCAAAATGTCCAAAAACCAAAAAATTGGGAGGTGGCTCGGACTTTAGGCATAGTCAGTTTGAATAGTCCATCATGTAGAGGATGTCATGGGGGTCATGGTTGAATAAGAACAAAAAGTTCTCATTACACTCCTAGGGGGTCAAAATGTTCAAAAACCAAAAAATTGGGAGGTGGCTCGGACTTTAGGCATAGTGAGTTTGAATAGTCCATCATGTAGAGGATGTCATGGGGGTCATGGTTGAATAAGAACAAAAAGTTCTCATTACACTCCTAGGGGGTCAAAATGTCCAAAAACCAAAAAATTGGGAGGTGGCTCGGACTTTAGGCATAGTCAGTTTGAATAGTCCATCATGTAGAAGATGTCATGGGGGTCATGGTTGAATAAGAACAAAAAGTTCTCATTACACTCCTAGGGGTTCAAAATGGCCAAAACCAAAAAAAAATTAAATTCTTATTTCGGCTATAACTCCTCCTCCTACGGAGGTTCTTACACAGTCTTTACTTCCCGCATCTCACTTGTTAATAATGATTATTCACATTGGGAACATGAACGAGATAATAATACTATAAACCTGTGGCCTGTGGGGAGGTAAGGCCCTTTTCTATGTTGTATACCCACTATACATCTAGTCGTATATAACAGTAGAATACCCAGAGGTTCTGTTTCAGGGGTAAGAAATAGGGCCTGTATGAAATATTACTGACAACATTATTACAGTTTTTAAAAAGTTTTAAAGCCGTATTAAAGTTATAACTTGATTGTGTATTCCCTGCTACCTTTATCTCGTGTGTAGTTATTTTTAACTCTTGGTATTGCATTAAGTTACTCACGTAACGTACTCTTATTCCAATTTTAATGGATTAGTGTCTTTATCTTGCATATAATTTGCAAGAAATTCTTGTATCCGTCTTTCGTCTTAGAGTTAATCAAATCTCTATGTCATTAATGTCGAAAATAAACTTAAAACTTGCTTACAAACTTTAATTCTTGCTTAAAGTAAAAAAAATTATAGATTCACGAATCATTTTATTGGAAAAATTACTTCAACAGAATTTTTTATACTTAGGTTAAATTTGATTATTGTGATCCTTAATAATGTCACGTTGTTTGTTTATCAATAATTATTCAAATTGTTAACGTAAGACGCTGGTATTCTGTGCGAGTGCGTTTCACGGTAGAGTCGACACATTCGTGCTCTACCATAATACGCTGCACTGTGCATAAACATTGTGCAAAAAAGGTTGAATGGAGTTTTAGGTAAGCCCTTATCGTCGTCTTTGTTCACAGTGCTACTTTCATTCTACTTGCTGTAATCATCATCCTCAATGTCCTTCTGTTGCGCTTCATAATTGCCGAGACGATACAAGAACATGCATAAAGTATTAAATGTTTTGAAAGCCACGCAGTATCATTTTGGGATAAATATAATTCCAAATTATCGTTCTGCAATTCCAAACCACTAATATAGTATTATCTCAAAAATTATGGTAATAACGTAACAACTCTAAAATGAAGAATAATTTTAAATTCATAAATAATGTAGTACTATTTTAAGGAGATAGTATTATAGATAGTATTTTGAAATTATATTATTTTGCATAAAAGAAATCACAGGCAACATAGTATTAAGTAAAAGATAATAATATATAAATGGCATACTTTTTTATTTATATGTCCCTATGAAACAATTTACTATGGCGTATTAAAGACTGTTGTCTTTAGCGGACAATCTAATAACGGAAACTGACTTATATTAAAATGCGACGGTAATACTATTTCATTCAATGACTGACCGTAACATTTAATATAGCTTTTTGTCATTATATAACGGCAAATATTTGAGATATGAATACGTCTGTGTTGCCAGTGGGTAGGGAAAAAATATCTTCTTGCTGAATAAGTTATACAACTTCTCTGTGGAATTGTTCGCCGGTGGTAAAGAATTCCACGCACAAAACGCACAGTGATGAACCGCCAAGGATCCAGATGGTGAGGATGGTATCGTGAATATTGACGCGATGTGCGTTCGTGAAATTTCGCGGCTGGAATTAATCCGAACAATTCCTCAGAGCACTCCCCGTGGTAGATTTGAGCAGTGCAGTGCCAGAGCCGATCAGAAAGGACTTAGTCATCGACGATTTGAACCGCTCTGCGCTGGATGCGGTCAAGTGGAAGGAGATGGTACCGGGGTGCCTCGGCCTAGAGATGAGAACAGTATTCCATATGAGGTCGAACTTGCGCTTTGTAAAGTTGCAAGCGATGTGCTGGCATGAAATACTGTCTTGCTCTACTGGGCACGCCAAGCTTTTAAGAGGCCAATTCGACATTCCCTTCTAAGTGATCACAAAACTGCACACTATTCGATATGTTGACGCCGAAGATTCCGATGCAAGCTTAGGCAGCAAAGGGCTTTGAAACTGAGGAGATACGACAAAGGGGTTCTTTTTAGCGGTAAATACGGAAACTTGTGTCTTCTGGGGATTGAAATGGACTAGATTTAGATGTCCCCTATCAGAGACCTTGTTCAGCAAAGACTCGACTTCAGACACAAGTTTGTCTCGGTACTCGGCGACGTTTTCCCAAGAAATATTGGCACGGCCGGTATATAAACATTCACCAGTGCTGTTGTCTGCATAGCAATGAATGTTACCGATTGGCATCATATCATTGATATGCGAAAGAAACAGCGTTGGTGATAGCACGCAGCCTTGTGGAACATCAGCGTTAGTAGGCTTGTAATCAGAGCATGCACCGTCTACTACGACCTTGATGCTCCGATCAGCAAGGAAACTGGTGATCCAATTGCACAATTTCTCGGGAAGCCCATAGAAAGGGAGCTTCAGAAAGAAGCGCTTTGTGCTAGACTCGATCAAAGACCTTCGCAATGTCCAAACTAACGGCCAATGCCTTCCCCTTGGATTCCACCCTTGGCAGTAGCCTCCGCCCATCTCTGAGTCAGGTAGACCAGAAGATCACCAGCTGATTGACCCTGACGAAAACCGCATTGGCGGTCACTAATTAGCTGGTGATCCTCGAGGTACCTCATGATATGGCATTTTATAACGGACTCCATTAGTTTGGAGAACAAGGAGGTGATGGGGATAGGCCTAAGCTCGACGGCTCCATGGCGCAGTGTCTTAGTAATGAGTTTCAGTGCTTGGGGCCGCGGGTTCGAATCCCTCTCGGAACAAGTATTTGTATGGCATACAAATAACTGACTTGAGTCTGCATGTTTGTCTTTGTGCAATTTATGTTTGTAAACTGGCTCCACGGTACAGAAAAAAATCCTAGTGTGGGGGTAACGTTTCTTAAAAAACCAAAATAAAAATCTAAAGCTGTCTTCCATGAATTCGGGACTACGCCTTGGGAGTAGGAGTACCAGAAAAGAAGCTTTAAAACCGGTGCCAACCCCGGAGCACACGTCTTCAGCACAATGAGAGGGACTCCATCAGACCCACTCAACTGACAACTGATAGATCGGCTTTCTCCTTTGCGATGAGATGGCTGACAGAAGTCTCCCGTGGGCAGCCTTGGCGAGAGACTAGAATGCACGAGTTCCCGAAGGAAGCTGAACTAGCTTCTCGCCAATTCTGCCGATGTGCTCAGACTTTGCCTTGGCAATGACTCTTTTGAAGGACCTGGAGGCGAAATTATCTTTTTAAGAGCGCTGGTGCTTATATCCCGAGACGTCAGCCCAGGCCCGGTAGCACTCCTGCTTACAGCGTGATGCTATTTTACAGGAGTGACCAAACCATGGCTGGGATCTGCCTCCGATGGGCACCACAGAGGATGGAATATAAAGTACCATACCCTGAAGTATCACATCAGCAACAACGCTGGGATCGCTGGAAAAAAAGACCCAATCGGTCAACCTATAGTGCTAAACACGACGGCAGCCAGCGGAATGCAACCAACATAACGGCTAGTCCCAATTATCAGGGTTGTAGCAATAAAGGTAGGGTCGTCATATTATGTAATATGTGGATTAATTAAACAAATTAAATTAAATATTGAGTAATGATATATATATATATATATATATATATATATATATATATATATATATATATATATATATATCATAAGGGACAGTTGCCTAATGCCAGGGCGCAAACCGCGAACTCGAATAGTTGTGGGTTCGAATCCGCCATTCGACTACTGTCGTGAACTACTTCTAACACAAGCATTTTAAGCTTACCAGAAGTGGTTAAAGGGAATATTAGTAATGTTTAATAGCATTACTAGTATTTAAAAAAATTAACATTAAATCTTACG